TTCTACTTGTTCCTCGTATTTCAGGGAAGTTCTTAATTTAAATTTTTATTTGATTTGAGTGGAACTAAAAACTGTACTTTTTGTCTCTGTACATTCTGTAACTCTTGTTAGGATGCGTTTGAGTCAATGGTTTGGTTTTTTTTTTTAAGAGCTGGACATTTGGGAAATAACACAGCAGAAGTCTTGGATCGATGTCCACTGAAGTCTGTGGAAAGCTTTATGCCAATTTCAGTTGGCCTTTTGTCAAGTCTTTTAAAACTTTTCATGAATATTTGGAACTATTTTAATGGGTGTGAAATAAGATTTAACTCTTCCTTTTGAGAAATTTGGTGTAGACTTCATTGATTTCTTTGGCCATTGTTTTAGCTGCTCAGTTAAGACAGTGGGTTTTTAGCACCTAATTTTATCTATATGCTCATAGCATTGAATAAGGCATTTTGGATATAAGTAGTATTCCTTAGAAAATACATGCATATTTTTTAGCACTTTGTTTAGTTGAGATACTACTCTTGTTCTTGTACAAACTGTAATTAACTTTACATCAGTAGTTATGTTTAACAGAGACACTGCAGTTCAATTATTCATCTGTTTTAATTCTCAGTTTCACTTCATTGTGCTTCTGACCTCATTATTTGCATCTGGTTTCTGAAACTCCTCTAGCTTTAATATGCATAAAGCTGTTGCCTTTGATTTAATTAGCATGTAATGAAAATGCCTTGTATGCAAACAGAGAACCCACAGCCATGAAGTTCTGCTGGTGTAGAGTGAGGATTTGCCTGATATCTCAGCACTCAGCTTTCTTAAATTATGGGTGAGAAATGGAAGTTCTGAAAGTCCTTCACTCCCTGTCACTGCTCTGGTTTTTGTAGAGGGTCTGTTTTTTTGGAGGGTCTGTTTTTTTGGAGATGCTGAAACCTCCAACTGAATGAGGTTTACAGGCTGGAAATGCAGCCAAAGACTTCACTCAGAGTTTAAGAACACAGGGGGAGCAAATGGGAGCAGCCTCTGTGCTGTTCCAGTAAGAGGCCAATGAGACCTGTTAGGAACAGATATGTTAGTGTGTGACTCTCAAAATTGTTCCATGTAGGTTGTGGTTTTGTATAGCTAAGATCAACTTTTTCAGTGGTTTAAAAAGTTGTCCTTATTTTTGAACTTATAATCCATCTTCAATTAAAAAAAATCTTGCAGCAGATACCATGTCATCATTTCCCTTGTCCAAATTTAATTCTGATATTCTTTTTCCTTTTGAGACTCACCAAGAAAACAGAACAAGTGCTGTACCTTGGTGATAACACCTGGATACTGAGGAATTTCACAAAGATATATTGGATCTGAAAATTCCTTCAGCCTCGAGCTAAGCAAATGTTTTATAACAAATAAGGAATGGGAGGAATGTTGCCTTTTTATCTCTTCTCAACTTTTCTGCAAACAAACTACAAGTTCCTCTAATTTATTGATTCAAAATTATTTGCTAACCACACAGGTCAATGTATGTCTTTCCATTTTCTTTCCAATGGCCTGGGATATCCCTTGCAGAAGGACAGCAGATATGTATTGTGAGGGAAAAACAAGGGAACAGCAAATTCCAACTGAGCAATCTCTTGGGTGTTCCTTCCCACCATATTCTCACAATTATTGCTATTATTAGTGATAGCCACAGTGGGAGACAGAAGGAATAGACAGGAGTCCCTGGCCTTTTTCATGCTGTGTTGTCTAGACTTAGAAGAATGTTAGATTTTGTCATCCTGCTTCCTCTCATGGTGTTATAATTGCAGAGAATCTGAAATAAAAATGGGGGTCTGACCTATCTGACCCTGTCCTCATTTTGTCCTAAGCCCATCAAGGTTACTGGAAAGACATCCTTGATTTGAGGAAAGTCACATGTATCCTGAAAGCTGTGCTGACAATAGGAAACCCAATGCATAATTTTCCATGACGACTTTGACAGTATTTGTTCAACTACTGAAGTATTTGAGCTGGATAAATATATTTCATCTAACTCACAATTATGGAGATGTGTCATGTATTTGTAGAAAAAAATTACCAGAACACCCAGGAGTACAGACTAGCCAAAATCTGGGCTTCCAGAATCTGGAATTCCTTGGCAGTGTAAAGTTAGAAAAGATGGCTCTGGGCTGGTCTCCTTCCTCTGTGCTGTGGCATTTCCCAGCTGGCATGTTTTCCAGCCAACACAACCATAGCCATGGGTCACTTTGCTTTACTTAACACTAAAATTCAAGAACCTGCAAGAAAGTACCTGGCAGTTGTTGCCCCATTGCCCCCTTTGCAGTTCTCCGGAGGTCTGCAGCTCTGTCTGAAGCCGGGTCAGCATTCTCAGCATTACTTGGAATTCCCAAAACGATTATTTCAATATGAATCCTTGAAACTATCCCATCCCATACCTGGAAGAAGTGGAAAATAGTCTGTGATTGAATGAGTGTCCAAACTGTTCCGTGGCACTTCTCCTTTCTTCTTGACAACTTCATAAAACTGGATGTTATCAAAAAGAAGGTATCTTTCATTCACACAGCATTTTTCAATTTGGTGGATGAGCCTGATGTAAAACCCAAAGGAAAGAAGTCTTAGTGGAGATTTAGGGTCATTTCTGCTGGGAAAAAGTGACTACATTTATAAGGCACTTAGTCATCTACAACCTCTGTAAAGGTGCAGCAAAACACATGCAGGGCCCAGAATTCAGTTGCTTCTTCCCCCCCACCCTGAATTCTCAATCCTCCCTTATAACGTTAAATATAGAAATTATGTTTGAGGCTGAAACTTGGTGTACATCAGGGACAGTTTCTTACAGGAAAATGTAGGACCCCCTTTTTTTTCCATATGGTTTGAATCATTTACTAAATGAATCCTGCAGGAATAATTTCAGATGTGGAAACCTTTAAAATGGGGAAATAAAAACCAGATTCACTACATTTCTGTTTTCCAGCTGAAAAAAAGCCCCACTTAGCAGCACCCAATTATCAGTGCATTCTAGTAGATAAGGATAGCCTCTCAGAACCACTTGTAAATTGTGTGATGACACACATCATAAGGATTAAAATATAAGTCTTCTTCCCTCCAGGAAAGTACTTTGTCATGACCAAATGTGATCTGACATTTGAAATATGCCAACTTATTGCAGTGGGCAGGCAAGTTAAATTCCTGTCAATTATTTAAATCCTGTCTGTTATTGATGGAGGCAATTTTAACCTTCATTTCGAATGTTAAGTAGATACAGGCTGAGATACGTAATTACGAATTCATGTTGAAGAAAGGAGAGGGGACAAATCATTAATCAGAATATCTGTTCAGTTTGTTTTCTTATTATTACTCAGAGGGCAATTAGACACTCTCAGTTCATAATGTGAGATCTCTTCTGTTGTAAAAATTAAGATCACAGTATGATTTTATGAGCATCGTTATTAGGCCCATGTGAGAGGTGCTTATATTGGGGAGTACTGCAAAGTTGCTTTTGATTTGGAACAACAGAAGTGAATTTCCATGAAAAGAGCACAGTAGATGACTGTAGACCGTTGAGGACCTGTAGATCTCTGATAAATCTCTCCTGCTGGAATTGGCTTAAAATCATTGTCAGCATTAGCTTAGTAAACAGTTAAAGCTGTGAAGATTTCGTGTGTAACTTTCTATTTTCTGTTAAGTTTTCCTCATGGGAAACAGTTCTTAAAGTGTAGAAAATTCCACAGATCCTTAAAAAATACCGTGCTTACGTTAGACATTGGAACTGCTTTCCTTCTGATACCCATGGCATTCTGGCCCTAGGAAGTTAGGCTAAAGAAGAGCATCCCTTTCAGAAGGGAACAGGTCATGTATGTCTCTTACCTGCATTTCCAAAGAAGACTTTTTGGGGAAGGAGGTGGAATCATGGTCTGGGAGGACTCGAGATGTCAGGCAAGATGGTTTGCAATTGACATTTGTTTGTCTGCACATATTTTTCTGAAGCATAAGAGATATGTAGTCCTCGTGGGATGTCAATTTTGGCAGGAGGGTGTTGGCACATGGTAGAGCCTCACTGATCCAAACCAAAAATCTGTGTCTAGTATTACGTATATAATGTAGTAGAATTACCTGATGAAACTTCTCCTTGGTTTTTGACTTGGTAAAAAGGAGTGTTTATTACAACGTGTTTTACAAAACCAAGAAATGAAATAAAATCATAACTGATTAATGAGCTGCATGGAAATACTTCCTCAGTGCCACCCACATTTCCCTGGCCCTGATCCTGGAAACACTTCATCACATGTGCAGTTTTATGCACAGATACTATGTGAAAACTAGAGTGTAGTTTTCCCATACTTACTTCTGTCTTTCAGGGATCCAAGAAGGAAAACAATTAGATACTTGCTTTCACTGATTATCTTTCTCTTAGAGGACGGTATAAATTTTAAACTGAGTTTATTATGATTAAATTGCAGAGAGTTGATTACTAAATGATAGTGCAAAAGTGTTCAGATGCTTCAACTTTGTGCTGCTGTCTTGTAATGTACATCTCTACTTGTAGCGACCTGAAGTCTGGGATTCCAGTTTGGTAATACCTTGTTCTGAAAACCCCCTGAATCTTAATTGAAATATTTTGGTTTACTAATCTGTGCTTTTATGAGAAGTTACATTTTCCAAAAGCATTTCCTTTTTATGTGAGACTGTATCCTGTACACAAACACACATACAAAAAAACCTGTACTGTGAAGAATGGGTTAATATTGCATATGAAATTATCCATGGTACTGTGTGAAGGTGCTGTGCTGCCAGTCCCACAACATTCCTGTTCTGTGTGTTACCAAATGTGAGACCTGGTCATCTCCAAAGTGCAACGATGCATACTTTAATTGGGAAGACTGTCCAGCTCATCACTTGAGTAAATCTAATTTAGAGGTGCACATTGCAACCCGTCTGGGCTTTGCAGGGAGATCACTGCAGGAGTTAGCATTTTCCAGCTGTGAGCCTTGACAGTCTTGTCTCTAACTTGTGGTGGTGTTGCTTTTTTTTAGTCAGGTTTGATAAGGACACGGAAGATCGAGTTCCTTATATCCCCATTACCTCAGCAGCTGGCACAGGAGCACAACTACACGTCCCCCGCTGGACACCATCCTCACGTGTTGTACAAACGAACTGCAGAAGAGAAGGTGCACCGGTACACAGTAGAGTCCCATCCCAAATCCTTCCCTTTTGGCCATGACAGAATGCACACTTCCCACAAGTATCATGCTCGGGCGAATGGTTACCACCATGGAAGGTTTCAAAAGCAGCATTTTTGTGGACGTCGCAAGAAATGTATGTAAGGAAACTTTCTCTCCTCTTTTGAGATAGTGGCTGTTACAGGCTGTGTGGTGACCCTGAGGTGTGCTTCGCATCTCTTCACATCCTTTTGGGATGAGGATATAATAATTTTAAATTATGTATTTCTAAAGTAAAACACATATGAGAACTTGAGTTTTCCTTGACATTCACAGAATCATCTGTTTTGTTAAACCATCAGAATCACTGTTTAGTTTCCTTGTGCTTTACCTAGATTTAAAGATCCCTTGCCTGATTTTTTTTTTTGTACATTGACATAGTTCTCAGTAAGCAATTCTGCATAGTGATGGAGGCCAAGTCCCTGAACTGCTCTCTGTTAGTTTGGGGATAAAAAACTAATTAGGCTTGCAAATTAAGAGAAACTCTTCAAAATCGTTAATTTCTGAGAGGATAGAGAGTAAGTCTTTCAGAACTCACCATTTGATAATGAAATTTTCAGCAACTAAGATCTTCAAAAAGAACCTCCCATGTAAATTGTTTAATAAGATTTTGGAGCCATGTCTTAAAAATTACATTGAAAGATATCCTGCCAAGATCTATTCTGAGTCTTTCCTTAGGCCCTCAAATTGCAGAACATTTTAGAGCCCCCTTGGTCCCTATATCTGTACTTTCAGCATTCAGTTGGTGCTTTTTGAAAGCTGATCAGCTTCGGAGCTGCGATTTTTAATGAGGGTCTCCTGGACTGCAAACAGTGTCTCAGTCCAGTTATATTCTTCCAACTTCCTGCTCAAGTTCTGAGAAAATGAGCAGCTTCCTTTTCCAAAGGTGTGTAAGGAAGAAAGAGAAAATAAACAGAAGGGAAGGAATGAGCAAGGAGTTAGTGGAAAAGGTGTCTGGCTGAGACTGAGCCCTATCTGAGGCCTGAAAACAAACGGCTTGTTAAAAGTTCCAAAATCCTTCCCCCCAGGTTTGAAAGCCAAACCTCAAGTGCCAGATGCACAAGCCTGTGAGTCAACCTGTAAACATTTGCATTCTAACGTAGTCCAAAACTGCCTCATTCCATCCTCCCTTTCCCTCCTGTCTGGTTTTCCTGCTGCAGAGCAGGGGGTGATGGTGCTAAATTAGCTCCTCTGCTCTACACTGGTTAGTTTTATTTGCATTGTCCTCCGTGGTCTTGTGTCTTACTTACTGTTCCTTCCATGACTGCTTGTCCAAATTCAGGATTATTCATGTCCTCTTGAGCTTTTACACGGTGCTTATTCCTATAATAAATGAGAGCACTTGGAACACTGTATTTTCATAACCTCCTGGGTTAGGGGTCTGAGAAGATATTATTGTTACTCCTGTCTTATAAATGGGACTCACAGGCACAGGAGAGGTCAAAAATAATCATTGCTTCTGGGTACCAAATCAAGAAACTGGGTTTTTCTTTAAAATATTTATCATATACATGCTTTTGTAATTCATTTAACTATACATATATATGTATATTCATTAATTTCAGTTACAGTTATGAGTTCTTAGCTGCATATTCAAGCTGGGTTTATGTTAAATGCAGAACATGCAATTAGCATCCAACTGTGATTAGTGTAAGTGATTTACCCATCTTAGGAACTCTGTGTCAGACACACTGTAAGGATTTGATTAAGCAAGATGGCATTTAATTACCCACAAAACTCTTTTCACATCTTGTGGTCTTTAACTTCATGCAGTACATACCTATAACCTTCTGAGAGAAAGGAAGGAGTTATAAACAAAGCAACAGACTTCCAGATCCAGCCTTGATTAATCTATAGAACAAATCACTGAATGAATGCAGTGCTACAAATAAAATCACATGTCATTGTTTAATTTAGTAGGGGAAAATATAGGATGCAGAAGAAATCACTCCACTAAAGGGAACACTCCTTCTATGAGTATTTGTTTTTTTTTCTTTCTTCTTCCTCCCCTCCTTTTTTTTTTTTTTTAGGTGGTTTTAAGTTTTTACATTGTTTTCCTGGTCTTCTTCTGAGATCTGGAGTCATATCAGTTTGAAATTTTCAGCAAAATCCAGTCTAGTCACCTGGAATAGAAGATTTCAGCTCAAATGAACAAAGGGATGGAGAATTCGGTCTGACAGAAGGCAGTCCTCTGCTATTAACCCTGCCTAGTCAAGGTTAATTTATCCTAACCTAAGAATGAAATCAAACTTGCTGAACAGTAAGAAGGAAGAGCACATTGCCACTTTTGGTGTCACAAAAATAGCTTGTCCCACTCACCGTCTTTCAAAATTTCATGTGTTGGCAGTTTGTAAACATTAGAAAAGCCAGTTACTCATCTTCCAAACTCTCCTTCACAACCTAAATGTTTTTAGATCATGAGAATTAGCTGGACTGTAATCAGTAAATCATGCATGAAGCATTGCCACTGCTTATGTCTTATTAGTAGCAGTGCAGTTAATTCAAGAGCAAAACTTCACTGGTCATGGATATTTGTGTCCAAAGCCTTGAAGTTGTATTGCCTTCCAAACAGTATTTGGACACTGATGTACCTTGAACTGAGCTCTTCTCTCTTGGGTGAGGATTCTCATTATGTCTTGATGTGCTGCCAGAAGAGAAATGTTCTTTGAACTTGTATAGGACAATTGTTTATAATGTGATACATTTGAAAATCTTACTAGCACAGTCCTTTGCAATGTTAAATGTACTTCAGAGTGACTGAGTTCTTGAAGGCAGACCACTGTTGTGTGTTCTGTGGTATCCTTGATTTCCCAGTTTGGCATGGAAGGAAGTAATCTGTGTTTTAGCTCTGTCTTTGGAATAACTTTCCGATGAGGCACAGACAGGATTTTTTTCATTACCTGAGGCTCCCTGACTTGTGTCGTGTTACACCCTGTGTCAAAAAAAACCCCTATTGTTATCCAAAGATTAGGTTGAAGTGGCCTTTGAGCCACTTTCTTGATGCAAAGGCAGTGTAGGTTTATGCAGCAGAAGCTGTGGATAGCAGGAGCACTGCAGGATATGGGACATAGATTTCTTTTCCCACTTTCTGGCTGTCTGAGTAAATGGAGTAGAGACCATTCTCTAACTGTGCCATTGGCCATGCAATACCAGCCAGAGGGAAAAAGTGCACCCTGGCAATGGGATATGCATTGCCTGTTGTCAAGCCCTCCTTGCTGCTGCCTGACATTTCCCTGTATTAAATAAATATATTCCCAGCAGGAATAATCTCAGTGGCAGACTCGCATAGAAGGCTGATGTCAGTCACAGTAACAGGCTGGCAGGAATCTTACTTGTGGTGTGTATCTGCTTTCTGTACTGACCGTGGACATCTGTTCTGGAAAGGACTTTTTTGCCAACTGCTGTGTAAGTAGCACATGCCAAACACCTCAGGAAGTTATCAAAAGGACAGGAAAAATGTAGATACTCTGTTAAAAATTCTGTTGTGTTTTTTTGCACAGATGCTACCATTTTATTAGATTAATTCCTTATTTCAAACTGCTTATTGCATACGAATGTGGTTCTCCCATTTCCTTCTCCCCCTGTAGCCATCCTTCCCTCAGGAATGAATCGGGTCTTTTTTAATAAACATGGAGGAACTTAGCCAGAAGTATTAAATCACATGCTGTAAAAATAATCTAAGGCTCTAAACCTGTGATACTTCATTTTCTGATGAAACAGTTCATGGGTGATCTGAACCCTTTCCAAAACAGTTTTATTTCCTTTTAGATGCACCCAAGCCACCCACAGCAGAGATGTACATTCGCTCGGACGAGTACGGGACTTCTGCGAGGTTCAAGAGATCATCTGCAAAAATTCAGAAAAATGGAAGTCTAAATGTTGAAACCCTTGTTGTGGCGGATAAAAAAATGTTGGAGAAACATGGCAAGGAAAATGTAACAACGTACATCTTAACAGTCATGAACATGGTAAGATGTAGTGTAACTGAAGTGCGTTTTCTCTGTTGGAATAATGTTGTGTCAGAGCAGGTCCTTTTGTTAGTAGTGACACCAAAAAGAGCAGCCTTATCTAATGTATTACTAATGTAAAAAAGCCTTTATAAATAGATCTTTAGATTATCACAGCTCTGGAAACAGTACTACAGAGTAAAAAAACTGGAACATATTTAAAATTTTAAAGTAGTTCCTGTGTAGTACAAAAAAGGCAGATACTCTGAAATCGTCTGTTTTATCTGATGTGTCTCCTTGAAACAAGCATTTATTCGAGAGAGCACAAATTTATGTTCATAAAATTGATATAACTAGAAATATATTTTCCTGTGTGGCTTTGCTCTTTACTTTTGTACTACAAAACTTGAGCTTGAACTTTGACCTTGATTACATTTGATCCAGGAGACCAAGGACAGAACAAAGCCCATTGAAGTCAATAGATGGTTTTCAAGTTTTTCAATAAGTGTAGTGGTTTGGGGCATAATTCTTCTGGCTTAAGCTCTTTTGGATTAATCCTACAAGGTATATAACTCCATTAATTTGTATTGAAAATTCAAGTCCAAAGCAATAACTCAGTACATATGTTTAATCTATTAAAAAGTATTATACGTGTAGGTGATATTTCCTCTCCAATAATCGTTGCAGGTCTCTAGTCTGTTTAAAGATGGAACAATTGGAAGTGATATAAACATTATTGTTGTAAGCCTGCTTCTTTTGGAACAAGAGCCGGTAAGTTGTGTTGGAATTTTCGTCTCAGCTACTTCATTTGCTCCTGTTCACTGGGAGCACTGGGTGCTCCCATGTTATGTACAAGGTTTCTTAAGACATAAAACATGAGAACGGATTAATATCACAAAAACCTTCAAAATGACACTTTCTGCATTTCACTGCTTCTTGGGTTTTGATACTAAATTCCTTCATTTCATGTAAATGTTCTTTAGAAACGTTGAAATGCTTCCAGTGAGACAAAACTTAACAATTTCCAGAGTTTTCTTGAAGAGAAATGTCTGGAATGAGAAATCTCCTTAATAAGTGATTAAATAAATAGAAAGATTTTGAACTGGGCTTTCCAGGGTGTTATGATCAGAAGTGGCTGGAATAAGAAATCTACTTAATAAGTAATTAAATAAGTAGAAAGATTTTGAATTGGGCTTTCCAGGAAGTGATGATCAGAAATGGTAAGGATCCAAAATTCCCAAACTGAAAATAGCATGAAACAAAAGGTGGGAGTGGAGCCAATTCTTGTGTCAAGAGTGCTGAGACAAAAGAAGACAAAATCTCTTTTGCTGAAAAGAAATTTGTGATGGGTTGATCTACTTGGATTATACTTTTCCTCCCCAGAAATCACCAAACATTTTAATCACAAGATTGAATATGGCTTAGTGTTCAGCTTTCTCAGGAATCAAATATATTTGTGCACTGTAATTTCAACCACCAACTTTGGAAATATCTGTGTGTCTTGGGAGAGGTGCAGTTTTATTTTACAACTGTAAGACATTCACTCATCAACTGACTCAGTCATCACATGGGAACACATAAGTTTATGTAGAACAAATACAAAAAAAATAATTCCCTTTTCCCTGACCAAATTCTATTCTTTCAACCCCCTTTCTTGAGTACTGATGGAAGCACCTTGTTTCTGTGTCTCTGCCACCCCTGCAGGGTGGGTTATTGATCAACCACCACGCAGACCAGTCCCTGAACAGCTTTTGCCAGTGGCAATCTGCCCTGGTCGGGAAGAACGGGAAGCGCCACGACCACGCCATCCTGCTCACGGGATTTGATATCTGCTCCTGGAAAAATGAGCCCTGTGATACCCTAGGTATGATAGCAAGCACGTGCTGAAAACTTCTGGGTGTCCACAGCAGAAACTGAAATGGTTCAAAATTTAAAAAGTTGATTTTTTGCACATGCTGTCAGCCTCCTTGAAGAGGGAAGAGCAGTATTATTTTTGCATGTTTGTCTTTGAGGTACCTAGAAAAAAAAGGGTATTGCTGGTATCATTGCCCCAGAAATGGCAAAGTAAGCTTTCTGAAGACACTCTTTTGGATTGTCACCCCTTCAAGGAATATTTTTGATTTTGAGATTATTTCTGAGCTACTCTTTCCCTCTCCCCCTTTTTGTGACTACTCGCCCTTTTTGAATGGAATTCCTCCCTAATTTGGGAGCAGTAAAGGCATGGGAGGTGGGATGAGAATAATCTTTACAAGTAAAGTGTAGTTTGAGAGATGAGGTTAGACTTAAACTTCTTATTTATTTTTTATATTGTGTTATATTATAATTTAAATTTTATACTTTATCATCCAATAAAAGTCTGCTGTAATTCCTCCATGATAAACCTGATAAAGTAAATAAGTGTCTTCATGCACCGAAATAAACTGGCTTATTAGGACCAGTGCAGATGATATGTGTGTTTGGAATTCTGTAGAGGAACAAGCTATTTAACTGCTTCCTTCTTTCAGGATTTGCACCCATCAGTGGCATGTGCAGCAAATACCGTAGTTGCACCATTAATGAAGATACAGGCCTGGGACTGGCTTTTACTATTGCTCACGAATCTGGACACAAGTAAGTTTCTTCTTCTATAAACAAATGTGTAAGTGAATGGAAACATCACAGTTAATATAAATCATTTAAATAGAGATCATTTGGATTGGCTGATTCTACATATAGATCATTTGAAACCTGGAGAGTGGTGAGGAATGGAGTTACATCCAGCTGGTGACTGGTCACCAGTGCTGTTCCCCAGGGATCAGAACTGGGGCCAGTCCTGTTGAGTACCTTTATCAATGATGTGAACAAGGGGATCAAGTGTCCCCTCAGAAAGTTTGCAGGTGACACCAAGCTGGGTGGGAGTGTTGATCTGCTGGAGAGCAGGAAGGCTCTGCAGAGGGATCTGCACAGCCTGGATCCATGGGCTGAGGCCAGCAGGGTGAGGCTCAACAAGGCCAAGTGCCGGGTCCTGCCCTTGGGTCACCACAACCCCCTGCAGCTCCAGGCTGGGGCAGAGGGGCTGGAAAGTGCTGGTTGTGCTGGGAGTGCTGGTTGACAGCGACTGAACATGAGCTGGATGTGCCCAGGTGGGCAAGAAAGCCAAGGGCACCTGGTCTCTATCAGGAATAGTGTGGCAGCAGGACGAGGGCAGTGGTTGTCCCTGTTTCCTGGGCACTGCTGAGACACCCTGAATCCTGGGGTCAGTTTTTGGCTCCTCACAACGAGAAGAACATGAACGTGCTCGAGTGTGTCCAGGGAAGGGAACGGAGCTGGGGAAGGGTCTGGAGCAGCAGGAGCAGCTGAGGGAGCTGGGGGGGCTCAGCCTGGAGAAAAGGAGGCTCAGGGGGGACCTTCTGGCTCTGCAACTCCCTGACAGGAGGGGGGAGCCGGGGGGGGGGGAAGGGGTCGGGTTCTGCTCCCAGGGAACAAGGGACAGGAGGAGAGGAAACGGCCTCAAGCTGTGCCAGGAGATCTTTAGACTGGATATTTGAGAAAATTCCTTCACCAAAAGGGTTGTCAGGCATTGGCACAGGCTAATCAGGGATGTGGTGGGATCATCATCCCTGGAGGGATTTACAAGGTGCTTAGATGTGGCACTTGGGGACATGTCTTAATGGTGGCCTTGGCAGTGCTGGGGAAGTGGTTGGACTTGATGATCTTAAAGGTCTTTCCCAACCTAAGATTCTATGATTCTATGACTCTGATTTATGGAGAAATATATAATGATTAGGCACTGGGTTTCCATTTTATTTCTATTGTAGTAAGACTGCAATTTTCTTAAGAACCTGCTGTCTCTCATACAAAATCAGTAATAATCTTCCATGGAGTTTCAGCTATTCTTTAAATTGTTGAATTAAATCTAAAGAAAGTGATTAGGTTTTGCTCTGCTGTTTTTTTCCAAATAATTTTGAATTTCTTTTTCACAACTTTGTGCGTGGTTTTGGTTTTCAGTTTTAGTGTAGTTCAGTCTGGAGTCTGTCTCCCCAGTGGCAGTAGAGGAGCATAGTTTTCTCTGTGTGGTACAAACCTGAAACCTAGGTTCAGATAAAGCATAGGAACTTTATTTTGAGCAGCAACATTAATGCACAGAATATCTTTGAAAAGCAGTGGTGCTGCATTCTGCTGATTGGTCAAGGCATGGAGCCTTCTGATTCTGCATGACTGAATCAGGACTATTTAGTTTTCATTGTACAAATATGCTCTGCAGTACATACTATGACCTAATGTCTACACGAGTGACCCTTTCACAGGTACATCTGAAGAGAAATAAGGAATTAAAGAATAATCCAGCTACCAGTGAAGCCTGTGGGACTTGTGCCAAAGCATTCAAAGGGACTAAATATGTAAAATATGTATTGTTTGATCCTCCTGTCACACTAATGCAATTTCAAGACCTCAGTACATTTTTATTGATCAATATTAGGAGAGAATCAGGCACGTAGCTTATTTTTCAAGAATTATCCCATTTAATCTCTTAATAGTCTCCTCCCTTTTTATTTTCTTATTTGTTTTGAGAGATTATGCATGGAAATTTTTAAAATTTTTCTTTTTTCTTTTTTTTTTTTTTTTGACTGCTGCCTTTGATTCACATATTATTCAACCTTTCTTTGGTATACTTCCATACTCCTGTCTAATAAAATGCACCAAATCTCCTGGGAAAAGCCTGTGCCAGATAGAAAATGTCTTTATGACCGTTTGCTTGTGTTCATGTTCCTGAGACTACCTAGTATGTGATGTAAGACAACAGAATTTGGTTTCTGTGATACAGAGATTCCTGGAAGAAAAAAAAAAAAAACAAACCTGTGACAGCCTTGGAGGTCCACTGTGAATATATTAACCAAAGGGTTTCATAGGAGGGGAATGTTGTATAATGTACAGAACACACTCTGTGGTCCACTGACAAGCTTCAGTGGTTAGACATTTTAGTGGTTTGTTAGACATTTTAATTGTTTTCTTTACTTTGTGTTTTTACCTGAAAGGTTAACAGTTCCTCAGAGCCCATTGTGTCACTGGGGTATAAACTGGGGATTCTCTGGCTGCAGAGCATGGGAACAAATTATTTTATGAAGGATTCTAAAATATAGGCCCAATTGGTACTTCTTCTGTTCATTTATAGAAAGAGACATATATTTTAGGAAGTTTGGAGCCTCAGCTGGTGGCAACACATGCAGTAACACTGATGAGCCTGTAGTGATTTATAGCAGTGGAGGATTGAGTCCAGTAAATTAGATATTCCCTGCACATGCACAGACTACATTCATAAAGTCGCCAATGTACTACAATATTGAAGTAACAGATGATGAAACTTCTCTCCAAAACACTTTGAAATCCACAGATGTCCCGTACAGTGAGTAAATACAGAACAGTGAAAGGAAAGAGCCTGAAAATTAACTTTATTATATACATAAAATCCCCATAATTCGTCATTATAACATGGGGTTTTGATATTATTACTTATTATTCTTTGTATCATCCTAACACCTCTCCTAGTGAGAGCAGGGCCTCATGATGCTCAAACTGAGCAAAGAACCCCATGAGAAGCAGTATTCCCACTGAAGAGTTAAATTCTAGACAAAGTGAATGACACTGTATAACAAAGGTGAGGGGAAAAAAGTGGTTTGCTTGAGATAATATTGCAAGTTAATGGCCAAAATTAGAAAAATAATATTTTTATATTCACACCTTGTATTCTATTCATTCATGCCCATTTTTTCTGCTACATGTTGAATGCAGCTCTATAGCTCTTCCCCCCTGTTAGGAGGGCAGTTAAGGTATATTCCTGTGGCTGTGTAACACAGATATTTCCCTGGATTCTGATCACCATGCCAGTCATGCTAACAGGCATTATCCCTGGGCAGAGACAGGCTCACACTGCGTGTTTTAAGCTGACAGATTCATAGGCAAGTACAAATGTGGCTGAACATAAGCTCCACGACTTCCATCCATCTCACCACGGAGCAGTTCTCCTTCAGGAATGAGAAATGGGTAAACTGTGCAACTCTGGGCACAGTCTGCAGCTCTGGTACCTCTGGACAGTGTCTTGTCCCTGGTCCCATTGCAGAGCTCCTGTGCAGCACCAGTGTGGGTCTTCCTTGGAACNCATCAGACAATTGTGTGATGACAAAAATTTGGTGTTAATTGGAGCTTGTTTCATACTAATAGTCATTTGTATGGTGCATTATGTTTTTATCCCTTTGGAATGAAAGGCATGAATCCCACTTTCCCTGTGGAGTTCAAGCATAGTGCTGTTGCCCTGAGAGTGTTTCTTTTGCCTCAAATTTTGTCTTGCTTCTGTTTAATTTAGACTTTTGCTCTCCCACCTGGTTCTCTTTTCAGCTTTGGTATGATTCACGATGGAGAAGGGAATGCTTGTAGAAAAGCTGAGGGAAATATTATGTCTCCCACCCTCACTGGAAACAACGGCGTGTTTTCTTGGTCTGTTTGCAGCAGGCAGTATCTCAACAAATTTCTCAGGTAGGTCACGTGGAAATCTGGGCTGGTGCCAGGGGGTGCAGCTTTAGTAACTGGGCTTGAATTCTTGAACAGCATAAAAGTTACTAAAGTGTGAAATACACCTCTTTTAAGATGTGCTCTGGCCCATGTGGTGTGTGAGCCCACACACCCAGGCTGCTGAAGCACAGAGGTGGTGTTGGCATGTAAGTGCTTTTGTCCTGCTTTGTTTCAAAAGCATGAATTTCACCCTCCAGGAATACCCTGCAGTAATGACTGGAATATCATTCTTTCCCAGGCATTCCTGTCAGCAGCTGAGTTTATTAGAGAATTAGTAGGAAGTGTACACAAAGGAGGGCAGACACAGTGGTACCAAAGTCGTTACAAAATGTGAATTAACATTAGTGGCCTTTCTCACTGGAGTTTCTCTCTTGATCTGACTCCTGACAGGAGTAAAGGACATTCTGCATTTTTCACATCCTGTTTCTGAGAGAAAAAAAAAAGGAAAAAGAGAAAGATGCCAATTATTTCTCCAGCATGTTGACATAACTCAGTGATGCTTTTAAAGGAACTGTTTTTCAGTCAGTGTTTAATTCATCATTAAATTAAACTTTCCCTTATTTTTTTTTTGTCATATGCGGGTAGACTACACAATTACTGAAGAATGTGTAGGCAGTGCTGTGACCAAGAGCAACACAGGCATTTTAGAAGTTAATTCCTTAGAGTGAGAATCAGGCATCTAAGTTGTTCTGTGGGTCTGATCCTTGAATTCCCAGTCAATATCGCTGAGTAGCAGCCAGGAAAGGTAACAGAGTTCTGGAGATTTTTTTCCTGCTGCAGTGATGCAACATATTCTGAGTACAGAAGAAAATTGCAAACTAAAAAGTCACGGGTCAGTCAATGCACAGAAAGCGAATTCTGGAGTGGGACAGTGTGTCTGCTGATTATGTGGATCCCTGATTTGGGGAACCCATTTAAGGGAAAGAAGCAGACTAGGTCACCTTGCTCTTGGTTACCCAGGAATAAAGGGAGGAAAAGAATTTGACATCATTCTTTCTTGTTGTCACAACAGTCCCAAAGCCTGGAAATTCCTGCTTCCTTAAAACTTTGCAGGTCAGGCTACCAACAAGATGTCAAGATCTTTTGGCTCCTGCGAGCAGATATTCTCATTTCAGAGCATACCTCTAAAACTAGTTAAAGGTACTGTATACCATATTATGTATTTGTGCTGGTCTGTAGCAAATTAAAATATTTTGATATAAAGATCATAGTCATGATTAATTTACATTCTCATTATAGTACAGCTCAAGCTGCCTGCCTGATTGATGAACCTAAGCAAACAGGACAGTATAAATACCCTGACAAACTGCCAGGGCAGATCTATGATGCTGATACCCAGTGCAAATGGCAATTTGGAATGAAAGCAAAACTATGCAACCTCAGCTTTGTAAAGGTACCTATCAATATACTTTTGAGAAGTTAAATGACATTGGAGAACTGACGTACCCTGAAAAAGTACAAGTAATACAGTGTTCTTCAGGGGCCTGGGCTGTTTCCCTGCCTTATCTTGCTTGGCAATTTGCTTTGAAGGTACTGGCCTCTTTTGAGGAATATCACAGTCCCGGGGGAGTTTCAGAAGGAAATGTGTTCTTTCCAGGAGTCATAAGGAGTGCAGCTGAATGCATGTGAGCCATGGGCCCGTGCCTGCTATGCTAAGGGAAATTAGCAGTTTTGATCAAAGCTTGTGTGGGGTGGGGGGTAAGAAGGACTAAGTTTTCTTGTGTTTTACTTTTGTGCCTTTACAGCAAAAAGTCTGGAAGAGATCTATAGGGTTATTTTAGAGCAACGAAATATTCTTGACTTCATGATGAAGGATTAATTTAGATTAAATCATTATTTTAGCGACTGTTACACTCCTTACTGATCTCTTCAGAGAAGGCGTTTTTTTAAATAATCTGGGATGCTCATTCTGAAAAGAAGTATCGTAATTTCTTTTAGTTCTTTTATTATCCAGGAGTATTTTGATTTATTTTATGCTAACTACATTTATCAGGGGATGGCAGCTGTGTTTCTTCTACAGCTAAGACAAAGAAGAGAGAGTGAACAGCACTATGCACAGGCTGCCTTTCCAGATATCTTGTGTGGTTTAGAAAATCTTGTGTCTTCACAGTATTATATATAGTCCCTGTAGACCTGATGAACTTTGCCTTGAGCTTTTTAACACTGTTTTTGTTCTGTTATAATCTCACACTCAAATAGTTTTTAAAAATATATAGTGAAATGGTGCATAAACAAGAAGGCAATGTACAGGATATGACTGTGCTATGAACCTTAAACCAGGGCTTTTCTGAATTCAGGAATTTATTTGTATGTCTTTTAAGGTAGCAAAGGCATGTATCATTTTTTAATCTTTCTAAACACCAGGAAATAATGGGAATCATGAGTACTGTAGTGAGTGTTTCTTCCTTTTCAGGATATATGCAAATCTCTCTGGTGTCACAAAGTGGGGCACAGGTGTGAGACAAAGTTCATGCCTGCAGCAGAAGGAACAGCTTGTGGTATAAGCATGGTGAGTTGTTTTATAAATACAACAGTGTCATTCCAACGTGGCTTTAGACTGTACTGGGACAAATACAAGCTCCCATCAAAGCCAGTTTTATCCATACACCCTCAGATTTGCTGTTGTGAGCATCCAGATTGCTCTGTAAAAGCTTCCCTTGAGATGCATAGTCAGGACGGGTGCTCACAGTGGTACCTGTCTGATGGCAGGTGTGATGCCTCTCCCACGGAGCTGTGGGATAAGGTATCTCTGGCATATCTAAATCACTTAGAAAATACATCAATTATAACAGAAGTCAGATCAGTGCTTCAAATTCCACTCTGATGTGAGCATTCCTCAAGCTGTAATATTTGCTATACAGACTAAGGCCATTATGCCTTTTTATTGGCAACAGTGATCTCCACTAAAAGCACTTATTTGTTTGAGCCAAACTTGCTAATTTACTCTCATTTTATTTGTTTGTATTTCCTCTCATCTTGTTTGTTTGTTTGAGTTATTTGTTTGAGTGGAACCTTCTAATTTACTCTCATCTGTAGTTACCCAAAATATTTTCTTTTCTTGTAATGTTTCTCCCAGTAGAACACTGTTTTGATTTTCAGGTTACTGACAAATGTTCTATTTTGCTTTTTCTCTTTGTGCAGTCTTTCCTAATTGAATCATAAAAGGGAGAAATTCTAGCAGGCTGTTTGTAAATTACATGGGAAATGTTGAGGCTCTGCAGCACAGGACCATAAAATAAGATGGATTTTTCTTGGGAAGAGTGAGCCAAAAAACCACTCTCCAAGAGAACACTTTTGAAAATTTTGTACCTCAGAGATCTTCAACTCAGAACTTGGAAAAATTTTAGGACATTACTTACCTATACCATTGTATGGAGCAATGTCCTGCTTCAGGGTCCTTGTGGGTGACCTTATGTTTATTTTGGTCAAGCACTGGAGATTTTAAATGTGGATTTTTAGCGTTTTACATTTACTAAGTAGTGCTAACTCTGATGGGGTGTTTTTTGGCATTCCCTTGGCAGTGGTGTCGAAGAGGACAGTGTGTGAAATACGGGGATCATGGCCCCAAGCCTGTGAATGGCCAGTGGTCAGCCTGGGCCGAATGGTCAGAGTGTACTCGCTCCTGTGGAGGTGGGGTCACGTACCAAGAAAGACACTGCAATAATCCAAAGTAAGACATAGATATGAAAAGGTATTATTTTTATACTAACTGTCTATGTTTTTAGAACAATACATTAACAGAGTCCGTTTCCTTAGGGAATAATGTGTGTGGATATGTTTGTATGACCTTTTTTCCATGTCCAGTATGACCAGGCAGTGTCTGGAAGACACAACTGTGTCCTGGTGCTAGAAAGCAGTGGCTGTCTGGAGACTTGCTGGAGTACAGAACATCTGCAGCCTGACTTTGTCCTTTTATTTTGTGACACTACATTTCATGAAATACCTGCAGAAGTAACGAAGCACCATACAGACATATTCACACCTAATAGTCTAAGAGCAAGGGGAAAAGGTCTTAAAAGCTATTAAGGCTTCTAATGAGATCATATTATCCAGGATAATAAACCAAAAATGTTTAAAGTCAATATCAAAATGGTTGTAGACAGATGTCTTTGTATGTCTGTCATGTTCTTGGCATCCTTTTATGTTTCGTGGGTCAGACTAAAAGTGCTGAACCCTGGAATTGTGTGCTAACTCATGAAACATTTCTGGTATTTGCATCTAATTGATTTCTTATCACTGTAAATGCTGCTATTCCTTATAATGGTATTTCAAAGTAGAGGTAAAGTGTTATCTGACCAGCATCTTTCCCAAGTATTCAATTCAGTGCAACTTACAGGAGAAAAAAGGATGTCACTGTTTTATTTCATACTCAAATTCGGCAGGCATAGACACATGTACTCCTCATTGCACACAATAAAAACAGCATTTAAACTGGAGTAATAAAAAACAGAGAAAATATGACACAGTTTATATGAGGCTGTAAAGAAGCCTCACACCTACTATACAGTGCTGCAGTAATAATATCCACGCTTCATATACTATGTTATAGGAAAATGTGAGTTAGTTAAAATAGCCTTTATTACCCTCAGTCAAGCCAATTTTTGCAGATCCATAGCAGAGCATTTTCTCAACCTTTTCTCTTGTTTCTCAGTATATTTTGATAAATAAAATTAGTTGGATAGTTTCTTTTATTAAGCTGCTTAGCAAGAGAATGCAGGGTCTCAATTACAGGGGATATATATATATATATCTCACAGAATCACAGAATATGCTGAGTTGGAAGGGACCCACAAGATCATCGAGTCCAACTCTTAGCCCTGCACAGGACCATCCCCAAGAGTCACACCATGTGCCTGAGAGTATCAATATGTATATTTTGGTCTTCCTCTTTTGGTCCCTGTTTTCCTTGCTAAATTTGTATGTGTGCTCACTGTTCTTTGCATTTATTCATAAACCCTCCCTTGCTCTCCTGGTGTTACAGGGGAATGTCCAGTCATGGAAATGGTTCAGTTTGGTGCACTGGTATAACTGGTAAGGATTTCTAAGGTCTTCAAAGAGAAGCTCTTCAAAATGAGGTGTGTCAGTCCCTGTAGCATTATGCATTTAGAACTTGCAGTCAGAGTATTCTGTCTGTTCTAATATAAGTAAAAACTGATGCAAGGCTCAATGTAACCAAGTCAGCTTGATGCCAGAACTGGATCTTGTTTACACCAGGTTTAATTTCATTGTATTAGTGATAACTCAGAGCAGAGACAAGATAGTATAATTCTCTCAGTTACAGTGATGGAAGGACAGGACTATAACTAAGCCACACAACAGTGCTCAAATATCCAAGTACCTGTATTTCCCATCACAGCATTTTGTATAAATGTGGAATAATAAGAAAAATAATACCATCCATTTTCAGTGTTACACCACATGGAACGATTTACAGCCTAGTTCCTGTTCATTGTTCACCTCTGTAACAACAGAGAAACACAGAATAATGATTCCTTTCTTTTTGAGCTTCTGAAACATATTTCAGATGTTTATGTGTTTCAGTACATATATGTATATTATTTTATATGTGATATATTTATTTCACTTTTCCTAATCCAGATTTGTGTAGGAGCTAATGTTTATTTTGTTCAAAAGTTTCATAGACGATTTTGGACAGCAAAATTTTGTAAATGACAAATAATGAAATTTCTGTAAGAGACAAGAACAAAGGGTGTGGATCTATGAAGAACTGAGTGAATTCTTATGAACATCAAGGGAAATAGCTCAGTTTCTCGTGATTTTAAGGGTCACCCATCTTACCAGAAACTTAAAGACAGGTGAACTACATAGGCTGTTGTGTAGGAAAGTCTTGTTACCTGTGTGTGTTTGTGAAATTCTCCTCTTGCAAATAATATCCAACCAGTTCAATTCCCTTTCTCTGGCCAATTTGCAGACAGCCCTTGTGGCAACACCCACAACAGTTTTGGGTATGGCTTTGGAATTGCCACCAGAGTTGTGCACAAATTCACACCAACAAACACCCGTGGGGGTCACCTGTAGTGCACAGAGCTGGGCAGATTTGCTAAAATCATTATGTTTCTGTAAATTGTCACAGTGTAATTTCATGGATCTGGTTTTCATACACCACAACACTTTACAATTGAGGTGCTTTTCCAAGATAGAAATTGATTGCATAATTTAGCTGGGAAAGAACCTGAAGAGTGCCCGAGAGATTTAAATTAATACCTAAATCATATCTGTGGGACTGCATCCTACCACTTCACAATAGTGCATTGTTCAGCAAGAGCAGAATGGAGTTATAGGCATGTATGCAATCAAAACTGCTCAAACACATTTTAGTCTTTAGGGTACAATATCTGTAACAGTGATTACAGACAATGCAGATGTAAACTGATGCAAAGTAATGATGCCATTTAAAATGCTTCTGAAAAATGACGACTGTGAAAGACCTTGTGGACCTTTCAGATTAATGCAGAATAAAGTAGCTTCGTGACACTATCCTAATACAGCCACAATATGAGCAGAATTGTTCTTACTTGAATTTAAATGATTACAAAACATGAAAAAAATGGGAGTCCAGAATTTCGATGTCTCAATTCCTTTGATATTGCATAAAATACTTCCCTTGATCAGATGAATTCCAGGATTTCTCACTCTCTATGTTGTGTTCAGTGAATAGCACATCACATAAAGTCTGCCCTCAGAAGGACACCGCAGGATTAATTTAAGCTGCTCTTGTAGCATTTTAATAGTTGAATCTTATGTGAGGTGGAGTATTTACATCTTTGCATTTATAGTCCTTTTCCAAATCCATCTTTGGAGATTGGGTTTTTTTCTGCTGGCCTTTCTCACTAAACTTCTCCCTTTTCCAATTATCCTCAGCAAGGCCTCATGCATGTCAACCTGTGTATGCCAGCACTGGGGAGTCCACAGAGGGATGAAAGCTTTAGGCTGTGTCTGGATTAGGAGCACAGTACCACTGTAAAAATATTGGAATACCCTCCGTGTGCAAGGCATTCCATTGTAAGGGTGGCTCCATGAACAGTTTCTGGAGGCAGTCAACTCAAAATCTACTGGTGGTAGAAACATCCCCCAAAAATTGTGATTTTGTCAGTGTAGATAATAATCTTGCCTCAGAAATTTGGGTTTGTGGATCTCCATCTAGTTTCCTGTGAATTACTTAACTCTTACTGACATCTTGTTTGTAAAAATGAAGGTGGGGAAGTTTCCATCATTCTCTAGCCAACAGTTTCAGTAATGGGAGTGTACTGTAATTTTAAAATGCTGTAACAGAGCTGGGAAACAGAATGCCTCTTTCAGAGCTTCCCTAGTTTGAGGGAATTTTATCCCATCCTCAAATGCAAGAGTGCAGCTAGAAATCATGACCAAGCCATAAATAATTCTATTATATTGCTTGTTTGGTGGCATTTAGTTGGAAGGAGTTTGCTTCTTTTCCTTACACTAGAGCAGATTTGTTCTCTGGGGCTGAAGGAGGTAAAAAATCTTACATGTGCTGAAGCTGTAAAGAAAGTCTGTAGAGAATTGAGTCAGGACCCAAGGGTTTGGCTGCCTTAACTCGAAGCTCTCACCAATTGCACAAAGTCAACATAGATACTCCCTTACTTCACTGATGTTTCATATCCTCCCAACCCTTCATAGACTGAATTGCCACCAACTAGGACAGAAAGTTTGACTTTATTTTAAGACTTTCACCATTATACCCAGCGTCAGTAGCTAGCAGGTGGCCTCAAGAAAAATCACGGGAAGTTGTGTGGTTTTTTTTCCACAGCACATTTTGCTTTAACCCAGTTTTAAATACAGCAGGAGGTGGGTTTCCATCTCTTCCTCTGAAAGACTGTTTTTTCCCCCCAGAATTCTGGAAAAGGCAGATACTGGGTATTCACAGCCGATTCAAAACATAAAAAAGCAAGTCCCAGCTTGGTTAGAGGGTTAGACATAGGAGGGTTAAAATTTATAATAAAGCAAACAGAAGCACCTGGATTTTCTCCTCCATGTTCCACTGAACTGTCTCCATGTTACTCAAGGCATGACCGTGTCAAGAGGGTTGCATGGGATACTTGAGTGTGGGGAATAGTTATAACATAGTGTTTAGGGATATAAACAAACAATACATTGCAAATGTCTTTTATACTGTTATTATTTTAAATTTATATTGTTAGTTAATATATTACTGTTTTTCAATATCTTTTATATTATTCTAGCTTTTTTTCCTTGTTTGTAATATAGGCAAGCTGTCCATGGAAGTTTATAGCTTGTCTTCCAAGTGTGTATGTTCCCTAATTTTTAAAAAATCATTATATAAATGAGTGCTAGTGCAGCTTTGGTACATTTCTTTTCACTTGATGCAAGAGTCATATAATACAACGAGCAGTTCCTAGAACTTGGTGTTTTGAAGATTTGGCTCAGGACTTGCAGATGTGTATCTGAGCACTGTGAAACTGCCCAGGTGACATCAGTGAATTCCTAAGTTGAAAAGTGCAGCTCTTGCATTTTGCATTGTTTTTACAGTGCCTGTGCCCAGATGAAAGAGTTAAAAAATTAGTATTCAAATAATGTAAGATACTAGCAAAGTAATAGAATAAGCTCTTTCCATTCTGTCCAAAATGAAGGGAAATGCCCAGGTAAGGTTTGCTGAAGTGGATGTGACATGTTTAAAATGATCCCTGAATTCCAGCATTTTCCTAAAGCAGCATGACCATGCACAGTCTTTGTTTCCTGTGTTTAAAAGAACATTTTTTCAAAACGGTTTACAAAAGAAATGAACAAGCAAATGTAATCATTCATTCTCTTTATGTTTGACCAGTGTTTTGTTATCCTTTATTAACTCTAATTGCAATAGATAATTCTTTGCACATGTTCCTGGGTTACAGCAGAGTAAAAATAGCTCTATAACAAGATTGAACCAGGCCAATACCAAATAGCCCTATAAATTTAAATTACTGAAAACATGACTCACCTCAATGGTTGCATCTTTGCTGAGTTTGCAGTGATCCAAGAAGATAATTCATGGCAACTGCTTTGCTTGGTTTTAGGAACCATGAAAATTAATGGCCCATGTAAGAAATACTGATCTCCCAGGACAGTCCATCCAGTGCTGTTCTTTGTATTCTCATACACGTGTAACATGCCAATCACACAAAAAGGACATTTTGCAAAAAATCATTTTTTTCTCCTTTTATTTTTTTTTTTCCCCAGGCCACAGTATGGTGGCAAATTCTGCCAAGGTTCCAGTCGTGTTTATCAGCTGTGTAACCACCAGCCCTGCCCAGCAAACAGCCTGGACTTCCGTGCCCAGCAGTGTGCAGAGTACAACAGCAAACCCTTCCGGGGCTGGTACTACAAGTGGAAGCCGTACACCAAAGTGGAAGGTAATTGTGCCCCTCTCTGAGGGACACACAGGCACAGGGAGCCCTAATTCACCCGTGTTCTTTGGGCAAATATGACCCCGTGTAAGCAAACACACACAGCCAGTTGGTTGGTTTGAGATGTGTTTGCTTTCTGGCAGAGCTGAACCCAGCCTCCTGTGTGATCCTGTGGGGACATGCAGAACTGATTGGGGTTGGGAATCCTAATCCTTGTCCTTAGTGTGACTCCCTGGCTGTTGCTGCCCCCCTCTTTCATTTTATGTTATATTGGTTAGTCTGAAACCCAACCAAAACAATTTCCATGGGTTTTTCAGCATGGGAAATGTAAGCTTCCACAATAACACTACCAGAATCTTCCTTCCTTTGGAATGTTCTCAGATTTCAAAACGTAACAGCAAGTCAACCTTTTGACTTTTCTGCTGGTATAGTCCCATGGCAAGTGGAAAAACAAACAATGTACTGGCATACATTTTTTTAAAGTCATCTTTTGCTAAGAGATCTTTATCAAGTTCAGATCTCAATAACTATTTATTCTTCTTTGTGCAAGCAAGTTTATTTTTACTTTATGCATCTTAATTTTGTGGGTATTTTGAGTCAGTATTCACTTTTATCAGAGAAAACAAACATTTTCTCCGGTTTGAAAGCCCAGTTTGTAGCTGCAAATCGTTGAATAAAAGTGTGTGGATTATATCACATTGTAGCTGCTTTGTTTAGCACCTGTACAAATTTGCTTTTGATGATAATAAGTATCTAATTAAATATATATACACATATATATACAAGTACACATACAAGTACATGGAACTTTCATTGATAGCCTGATTATATTGTTTTCAAAAGTCTTTGCAGACAGTTTTTTGGGTATTTAGAAACCTGTGTCCTAACAGCCAATGTGAACAGAGGAAAGAAGTAAAATGATTTCACAGCTTAATAGAAATAAAGGTGGCCTACATTGGTTTTAAAGGTAGGGGCTGCATTTAGTAAAAGGAGCTTAAAATTAGGGACAATACATGTAATTTTCCAAAGTGAGGTGTCCCCCAAGTGACTCTGGACTTGAAAATGCCTGTCCTTGCTCTCTCAGCTGCTTTAAAAATCTCCCCCAAGATCTACATTTATAGACCCGAAAACATGAGCTCGTTTTCAAAAGTGTTACAGGTGCTTTTCCTCTCTAAAAAAGGGCTATTGGAAATCCAGCTGCTGACTCAAGAATAAAAAGATACTATTTTGAATCCAGTTTCATGTTCTTCAAAACTTAGTTGTGCGTTTTATTTGTTGCACTTACTGTTTGTATTAAAATTGTGATAATATTTACGATTGCATGACTGGTTTTATCTGTGCAGAATTAACCAGCCCTTTATAAGCATAACACACCATCCATGTGTAAGAAGAAATTTGACAATGGCTGGGATTTGTTGGAGGGAAAATGCTTTTAGCAGGGGGAAATCTGGCCTCAATCCTAGCTTTCAGCTGAAAATTTTCAGCTGATCATTTTACCGTGTTATACGTTTTCCAAATTTTAACCGAACTTCAAATAAAATTATTACAGTCTCCCATTTCTCCTAATAAAAATGTAGTTTGAACCTGTGGAACTGAAATCAGGGCACAGCAGCAGAGCTGAGGCAATGTGCATCTTTTCAAGCTGGGTTTGAATTCTTGGTTCTGTGTGCAGACAAGCAAACCCACGTGTGCTTTTAATATAATATAATACAGCATATTATAAGCTACTCTGTTTAATTCTATTTCTGCCCATCTTGGTGTCCTAAGATGTCTCCACACACAATTAATCCTTGTAGCTTGTCCTTTAGGATTCACATGAAACAACAGCAAGGTGATTTTTTTTTTTTCCTTTAAAACTGTGCTGCAGGTCTGCTGATGCTTCCTTGTCCTTTTTTGTTTGTTTGTTTTTCCCCAGAGGAAGACAGATGTAAATTGTACTGCACAGCTGAAGACTTTGACTTTTTCTTTGCAATGTCCAGCAAAGTGAAGGATGGAACTCTGTGTTCTCCAAATAATTTTGATGTTTGTATTGATGGAATATGTGAAGTAAGATAAAATTAAGTTTCTTACAATCCTATTGTCTATTTTTTTTTAAGTGGGCAGTTGACTCCTTTATGGAAAATGCAGCTGTTTCTTCAAATTCCCTTGTGTCTGAGTCCTTCACTTGTGCCTTTTGGTTGCAGCAAGTAGGGTGTGATCATGGACTTGGTTCCAAAGCTGTATTGGATGCTTGTGGAGTTTGTAAAGGAGATAATTCAACGTGCAAGTTCTTTAAAGGCCAATACTTGATCCAGCACAAAGCTAATGGTAAGGAAAACTGTTCCACATGATCATCAACTCACTGCTCTGCTCTATCCCCATGTAATATATTTGACTCCTTGCTCATTTGGGCAGTGGCTGAGGGTCCAGATGTGAGCTGAAAATCACAGGGAGAGTGAGAGGAGAGTTCACATTTCTCCTGTTTCTTGGTAACACAAAAGCTATGAGAGTAAGTCTTGGTCAGTTGAGCATTCCTCTTGTTTCTTAAGCCACATTTTCCCTGTACGTGTGAATTTCCTCTTAAAAGAGGTTTTAGTATTCAGACAAGTAAAAAAATAGCTGTCAGCAGCTCTGACTGCAGTGGGAGTGTAGAACATATAAAAAGCAATACAGAGCATAACGCCAAACATGACAGTATTTCCGTGTCTATTTTCAAATTAAGTTGCCTGGAAGCTGTCCAGCTGATTCAGTGGAAGATCCAGTCACTGGGAGGTGGACTTTTCTTTAGTGGAACTGTCACAGGCTTCTTGGGAAGTAATCTCACTGTGCTGCAGTTTCTCAGGCATAAAATGAAGATAAGATTTCTGTACCCAAGGGGGTATTTCGAGGGTCCATTTACTTCTGATCATAAGACATGTCAATACTGCAGTAATATAGGCCAGGAAATTGGTCAGGATATAGTAATAGAGCACTGGCTGGCAGCAGGGAGATCCTGTGGTATCCAGGGCTTTGTGAAGGCTCTGTGCATCCCAGTGGATCTTGTCTGTGATGGTAGCAGTACCTTTCAACTGCTGTAGGGAACTACCAGGAAAACTTGGTAAAACAGTTACAGTGGAGCCACCTTTAGTGTGTTCTGCATTTTTCTAAGGTGAACTTGATTTTTCTTGTCTTTAATCACAAAGAAAAAATTCAGGGATTGAAATATCTCAGAGTTACTCTGATTGCAGGCTCCATAACGTAGCAGGGTTAAAATCAGAACTGGTTTTTCCTTGTGAAAACTTGGTGGACCAGAGCAGCTGTCTTAATTAAACTGCAGTAATTTCAGATTGGCTCACAGATGATAAGCCACCTCTGTCTGTATGACAGCTGCAAACACGTTGCTTACTTCTTTCCTTCCAGACTACTACACGGTGGTGACGGTCCCGGCCGGAGCGCGCAGTATCCACCTCCAGGAGCTGCAGATCTCCACCAGCTACCTTGCAGTCAGAAACCTGGGCAAAAAGTACTATCTGACAGGGGACTGGACAATTGACTGGCCAGGAAAGTTCCCTTTTGCTGGGACAGTTTTTGATTATCAACGCTCTTTTAACCGTCCAGAGAGTCTCTATGCCGCGGGACCGACTAATGAGACGCTGGTCTTTGAAGTAAGATTTCTTCTGTTTATTCTTCCCCTGATGTCCATTACAGAATTAATAACGACAGCTGGAGCTCTGCACTGGAGCTCTCAGCAAGATTAAAGAATAGTGTTGAGTCACGATAGCATTCAGGCTTAATTGTGTGGTCCCGCTGGATTGAAAGGCCTTTCACTGCTTTATCAACGTCTGGAGTTTAGTAAACTGTCACAAACTCAGGGAAAAGGAAAGGGCATAAAACACACATACAGCGTCATTTCTCAGTTGCTGCACGATGGTGATAGAGATTATAAATGCATCCCATACGTGGTATACAATAAAACCCAATAATGTAAAAATTAAATGTAACATTATGTCAACAACTCAATGGTAACAGGTTCAAATAATGCTTCTGAAACTGCAGGTGCATGGAGCAATTTTCACATCCACCTTGGAACACAGTCAAAGTACCACACATAGTTTCCTGTAGAATTTCCCTTGATTCAGTTGTTTTATTATATATGTTTATCTCACAATCAAATTCGTATCACCTGCTTTGTCTGCCAGATGTCCTGTGTTGAAACTATAGTTAGTAGAAAGGAAATTTGGTACTTACATTGTTTGTTCCAGTTTTACAATTTCGAAATTGGCCACTACTGCTGCTGTTCTAAGGATAATCTCTTCCTGCATTGGTTTACTTAACTAGATTTTCTTTTAAAATGCAGCAGAACATCTGAGGGTCCATTTCTGGCTGAATCACTGAAGTCTTTGCTCCCTGTTAGCTCTGTTAGTTTGCCTGCTTTATTGGAAAGCTCTGACAGGTCTTTGGCTTTGTAACTCAGCTGTTATGTCTGTTCTATGAATCCTTCCTTCCCTGTGAGAAGGAAGGAGTCCTCTCCAGAAGGGATTCAGTTCCTTCCCACCCCTTCCAGCAATACTCAGGTTGGTGTAGTGCACCTGGAGAGCAGGGGAGCGAATGCTGTACCCCCTGTCTGAGGCAGCATCCTGCAGTCCTTCCCCCCATCCCCTATCCCTGTCACTGAAATCCACTCCCTGCAGCCTCAGCAGGGAGCCCAGATCTCTCCATCCCACCTCCTTACCCAGCTTGCTTCTGCTGAACCAAGAGAGAGAACAAGCACAGATTGTGACATGAAATATATCCTTCAAGGATTGCATAAACTTTCACAAGTATCCAGTAAAGTGTTTATTTGGAATGCTGAAGAGCTTTACTGTTATTCATACTGACTGAGTAATGTACTTAAACGTGGCTTTAAGAGCCACTGAGGGCCATGGACCATGAACACATGTTAAAGCACTTCAGGGTGAACACATGTTTTAGAATGGACAGTTTGACGTGGGTAAAGGGTGTGTATTTGCACAAATTGCCATCATAACTCTCAATGCCTTTTTAAAACATTTTTCTCCATTGAAGAAATTTCATTTTGGGTATGTGTGTTAGCAGGGATCTTCCTTTAGTCCAAGGAAGAGTTTGGTCTGAAAGTTACAGACATGCTCCCCTGACTGCAAATCAGCTCTAAAACAGCCTTACACCAGAGAAACAACCACACTTACAAATACTGTGAAATGTTAAGCTGAGCTCTCAGGAATCTTATTTGTCATAACACAAAGTAGATTTGAGCTGTGTTATTATGGAGTTAAAAGTATGAATAATAAATCTCCTGCAAGACGACTTGGCTGCATATTCTGCACATACTTTGCAGAATAAAGATTAAAGAAAAAAATTTTAATGCCAAATAACACTTCTATTTTCATCCTATCAAATTATGCTAAACTGTTTTATTAAGATGTAACATTTAACTGGAGGCTGTTTCTCCTTTCAGAGCTTATTTAAGCTTCCCTTGTATTTTTATTGAAATACCTACACCACTGGCATTGGTAGCTAGGGATTCTGACTGAAAATGTTACTGTTATGTATTCCCCAATTATGGATATCTATGAACTGCAGTTAAAGGTTTTTTCCCTTTTAATAATTAAAGCAACATTCAACAAGCCGAATTGTGAAATAAAATGCCAAGTTTTGTATTCAGAGATCTGCATTAATTATGATTCACCAGTAACTCTAAGACTCAAAAATGCCAATGAAAACTGAAGAAAATATACTTTGATGAGAAAACACACGTATTGCTGAAGATCTGCTTGGAGCAGTAATAATGAAACAAATCCTACTTCCACTATAAATACCAGAAACTGATAGAAGGCTGAAAAAAGGAGTGTTTAAGCATAATACAGTGTAGCTTTGTTTTCATTTTTATCTCATCTGTAATTTTCAAAGAAGCATACGGGAAAAGTCATGCCAGCAATTTTTTTATTCAATTAAGGTTTTGATAAGATAAGGTTTTCCAGGGTTTGGACCTCAACTTCTTCCTGTAATCTTTAGATTCTTTTTCTTCATTTTGTAATTAGGTTGTATTCAAATGATATTTAATACTTCTTTTCTAGATTAGGTTTGTTGATATTTTCTTTTTCCCCCAGAATACTTCAGTGTGAGCCCTTGTAAAAATGCACACGGCAGGTATTGAGTAAATAAATTGCATGTATAAATACAGGAACTTTTATTATTCGGGTGGGCAGAAAGTATAAGGTTTTGTAGCTGTATTTATTGCCATTCCACTATGACTGAAAGACAGATTAGCACAGCTTGTGCCCGCTTCATTCCGTGGTTATAATTTCGTTCCACATTCGTGTGGTGACTCAAATGGCTCAGGTTTTCTGCTTCGTTTCTGCATGCAAACCAGTCTGTGTGTATCCAGAAAGCTCAGGTTATGCACGTCCTTGGAGCAGCATTCCCAGCAGAGGATGGGACCAGGCAGGTCTGGCAGGTCTGCGCTGAAGGCAATCACTTCCTTTGAAATGCAGTCATTCTCCAAAATATTTTCTTGAAAGAGACATCTGAAGCGTGTATTAAGAGAGAAGGAGGAGATGCAAACAAGAAAGAAAAAAAATATTTAAGTTCCCTATTGTCTTGCATACCACAAGTTCAGCCTTGCAGTTCTGTGAAATGGTTTGTATTTCTGTTTTCTTGTACAGTATGTTCCTGAGCATCTACTTTTCTATCAGGCTTTTCAGTAGTTCAGCTGAGCACGTATCATTTAATCAGACTCTGAAGTCCTCAACACTATTCAAAAATGGGTAAGAGACAAGAAAAAGACATAAAAAGTGCTTTTCTTACTTACCCTAGAATTTCACAAAAACCCCTCCCCAGCACATACATATATTTATATATATTTATGTATATTAAGTGTATGTAATTATGGAAATGGGTCATACCAGCAAAGACAAAGGACAGTGAATCTGTAATTTAAGCGGGTTGTGGGAGAAGTAGTACAAATTATAGTGGCTAAATATTTTTCAGAAGAGGAGGAGAACATTGTGAGGTGAATGTGGAATTAAATATGTATGACTGGTATTTCCTGAGCACAACTACAGGAGGGGTAAATGCATGATGAGATTTTAGGATCCCTCAGGATCCTTTCTGGATTGTTCAGGAATTCATTTCACATGTGGAAGCAAGGGGAAAAATGGTAAAATGGTGTCCTTCAGAACTGGTGTATCAGTGCCCCTCTGAAGTTAATATTAGTAGTGTTTTGGTGATTGTGAGTATTTATAAACCAGTAAGAGCTGAAATGAAAAATATTCATGGATTCAGAAGGCAGTTCCTGAAATAGCCCAATTTAGATTACATGAAATAACAATCACTGGTCAGAGGGGTAGAAATATGATAGTTAGATGCTAATCTAGGATGAGAAATTGATACCGGCCTTTTAAAATACAGTTTCTGTAGAATATTTATCTCATCTTAAATAGAAATAAGCTGGAAATTTTTTTTATTGTAGTTGAATGTATTCAACTCATTTATCTGTCATTTGGGTTTAGGTAATCCAAGGTCAGCACTTCCAATTTAAAGACCTTGCCAGTGTTTTTCTGTTAACTGAAAAATATTTAAGTTGGGGAGAAACAATCAGTATATTTATCACTCGTTTATCCAGCTTTGCAAACAAGAGCTGCCAGTGGGCACCAAAATCCTTTGGAGAAGAGGCTGGCAGAGGCCAAGGGACATTGCCCTCACAGGGCTCTGTCACTACAGAACTCAGAACTCACTTGTGAGATCCATTTGGGGAAATATTCACCCTGCACAACTCACTCAAATCCTGGGAGAGATTCTGAAAGAGCAAAAGAAACTGAACCATTATGTGGGTGTGAAAAACACTCCATGGCCAGGGATTGATGAACTGACTTAGAAACACAGGAGTTTTATAGTTTGGTTTTCCATGCTATCAGTAAACAGATGAAGAATTGACTGATTTGAGAAGTCAAATAGGATTTGAGAAAGCACTGTAAAGTTTTCCAGGATGAGACAGGATCAGTGTCCTCACTGAAGTTGACCTCAGTCTTGCTGAATCAAGAAATTGTGAGATCTTTGTAAAAAAAAAAAGAGTTTATTTTGACATCAATAAGTAACAGATGGAAAGGATGCTTTGTAAAGAGGCAGACATCCATGGGAAGAGAAGGTGAATGGAGCTTCGAGGCAGGAATATGTCTAATTAAATCCAGGATATCACTTCCTCTTTATCAATAGAGTAAAACAGGAGAAAGGAGGCCAGGTGGAATGGCTTTACTGATGATGTAGCTGCCACTGGGAGAAAGCCAAGTTGCAGTTATAAAGGATTACATTTATTATTAGCTACTAGATGATAAATTTGTACTGATTTCCCCTAAAGAGAAAGTAGGCTAAAGAGAACTAAGATGTTGATGCAATACAATGGATAAAAGGGTTCTCCTGTAGTGAGGAGAGATTAGCTGGACAGTGTCCCTGAAGGTTGTACATTTAGCATGTGAACAGTGAAAAAATGGAGACACTATAACAACGAAGATAAATTTGAAACAGCTGAAGTAGAAATGAGATCATGTAGGACCTTTCAAGGATACTTCTTTTTTTCTTTTCCTTTTAATGACCTTAGTGGACTTTCTTGAAAAACAGTAGTTTGTCATAAGCTTTTAGTTAGGATTGTGTT